GCTTGACCTACCTGCCGCATCACGGCATCCTCACCATCAATCCGCACCCTCAAATTCCCTTCTAGCTCTACAGGGTTCCCAGGGAGGGCTCCCTCGCTCTGTGTGCTGATCTAAACCCCAGGCAGGATCATCCTCACCGCCTGCATTGTCCCTAACAGTGCCTTCTCCTCTCTCGTCAGCACCAGAGCTGCTGTGGCCAGGGGGTGAGCAGGCTCACGTTAGCTCTCAAGACAGGCTCTGCAGACAGTGGCACGACTGCCAGGGCCTGGAGAAGAGAGAAAAAGGGAGAAGGTTGCACCCAGAAGTTTCTTGCTTTCCAGTTGAACTCAGCAATGTTTCTCTGCCTCCTTGGGGGGGGATGGTTCAATCCATAAGATTCGTGGAGAGCACTGCATTGCTAAAGCATTCGTATTCTTCAACCGGGAACAGTGAATGACTCCTATAGCACGATGAGGAAAAAGACGCAGCACTGCTGGGTAAAGGTCATCGCTGCTTCTATTGTACAGCAGAAATAAACACAAGCTGCAGCTCTGCACAGTTATGCGCTCTTCAAAGCGCTCTGCCCCCGCGCCTCTTTTGGGGCCTGTCCCACCCTGCTACAGTCATTTGTAACTATGGGTTTCTGGCCGAGTTTCCTTCTCAGTCATGTAATTTCCTTTTTCTTTTCTTTTGTGGGACATTTTCAGATTTTGAAAGGGAAAAATCTGTGTTCCGATTCACCATCCAACAACCCATCAGTGTGGAAGAGAAACGTCCCTAATTTTGGCGTGGCTTCTTACCAGTGTTTTAATGCTAAAAGCCAGTTAACAGACTTAACAGCCAGCTAACTTCACACCAACCGAGAGCATCAGCGCGATGCTCCTGCGGATTTGGATCTTTTCCATGCGCAGGAAAGGTGTTGCCTGGGGAATGGCAGTAGGATTTTCCTTTCTGCTTGCAACCGAGCGACCTTTCCCGGAGGAAGAGGCAGCCTGGCCCCAAGCAACTCATTCCTCGAAGCCTGGGAAGCAGACGCCAGCCTCTTGGTATTGATGTGGTTAGGTAGGCCGCTGACAATCGTAAACGAGAGAGTATGCCGCAACGTGACGGCTGCCGCGCACGTCGCCTTGCAGAAGAACCCCAACGCTTTTTCACCTTTCCTTGGGCACCCCGTTGAAGACAGCCAGGCATCCTGAGGGCAGGCAGCCCCCCACCACCCCGCCTCCAGCACGGGTTCCTGACGTCGCCCCCCCCCCTCTTCGCAGCGTCGTGCCTGAGCCACCAAGAGTTTTTAGGGAGTGACACGCTCATTTGTGCAAAATACACCGGAGTTGCGTCTGCTACCGGGATCAGACTTTGCAGCTGACAGAGGTGCCTGCTGACTCCCGGCATCTTGAACACCATTTAAGGGTAGTCATTAACAAGCCAGATTCTGTTATATCCTCATTTGTACACGTTATTTTTTTATACCATTGGCTAAAAGTTCAGCGTCCGTAGAAAAACGTGTTTGCCTTTCCAGGAGACCATCCAGCATTTCGTGAAGGAACAGATTTGACAGTCTAATACTGGAAAGTCGACACCTAATCACCTCATTCCTAACTGATGTTGCCGTTTGTAAAGTTTTCTCTGAGAGCCCGGCAGATGGAGGGGAATTGCTCCGGGTGATGTGATGGAGTGGGGGCTGAACGCAAGGGAAAAGTGCTGAAGCACTCATTAAAAACAAAATAATAATCCTCAGCCTTCTTACAAAGTGAGGGGGCAGTTTGCTAAGGAAGGGGGAGCCCTTTCAAGCCCCAGAGGTAAGATTTTTGCAGAGAGAATACAAGTTTGCACTGTGTTCCTTCTGTAGTTAGTTTCTGGACAGAAAAGACACAAAATCTTCTTCAGGGGGATTTTATCACCTGATGTAGTGGGCTGACCCTAGCTGGATGCCCAGGTGCCCCCCCCAAAGTGCTCTATCGCTCCCCTCCTCAGCTGGACAGGGGAGAGGAGATATAATGAAGGGCTTGTGGGTCGAGATAAGGACAGGGAGAGATCACTCAGCAATTACCATCATGGGCAAAACAGATTCAACTTGGGGAAATTAGTTTAATTTATTGCCAATCAAATCAGAGTACGACAACGAAAAATAAAAACTAAATCTTAAAACACCTTCCCCCACCCCTCCCTTCTTCCCCAGCTCAGCTTCGCTCCTAATTTCTCTCCCTCCTCCCCCCCAGCAGCACAGGGGGACGGGGAATGGGGGTTGCAGTCAGTCCATCACCCCTTGTCTCTGCCGCTCCTTCCTCCTCGTGGGGGGACTCCTCACACTCTTCCCCTGCTCCAGCGTGGGGTCCCTCCCAAGGGAGCCAGTCCTCCATGAACTTCTCCCACGTGAGTCCTTCCCACGGGCTGCAGCTCTCCCCAAACTGCTCCAGCGTGGGTCCCTCCCACGGGGTGCACCCTTCAGGCACAGACTGTTCCTGCGTGGGTCCCCCACGGGGTCACAAGTCCACCCAGCAAACCTGCTCCAGCCTGGGCTCCTCTCTCCACGGGGCCACAGGTCCTGCCAGGAGCCTGCTCCAGCGTGGGCTTCCCACGGGGTCACAGCCTCCTTCGTGCATCCCCCTGCTCCGGCGTGGGGTCCCCCACGGGCTGCAGGTGGGGATCTGCTCCCCCGTGGACCTCCCTGGGTGCGGGGCACAGCCTGCCTCACCGTGGTCTTCATCATGGGCTGCAGGGGAATCTCTGCTCTGGCCCCTGGAGCTCCTCTTCTCCCTCCTTCTTCCCTGCCCTCGGTGTCTGCAGTTGTTTCTCTCGCATATTCTCACTCCTCTCTCCAGCTGCCGTTGCTGTCGTGCGGGTTTTTTCCCCCTTCTTAAATACACCATCCCAGAGGCGCTCCCACCGTGGCTGATGGGCTCAGCCTTGGCCAGCTCCATCTCGGAGCCGACTGGCATTGGTTCTGCCGGACTTTGGGGGGAAGTTTCTGGCAGCTTCTCACAGAAACCACCCCTGTATCCCCTCCGCTACCGAACCCTCGCCAAGCAAACCCAATACACCTGACAAACATACAGCGACAATAGGCACACATTAAGACAAGGCAACTCCCTCCCAATAAATTAGCATGCTTGTGTTTGCAAGGAGACATAATAGCTGTTATTTATACTGTACTTACATATTTAATTTTCTTTCTAAATAAAAGCTTTATGCCTCCCTTTGAGCCTGCTCTTATAGCCTTAGACTACAACAGCTACAAAATTATTACTCCAAATTAGCATGGCATTCAGTGTGCATTTGTATTACTTCCATGATTTTTATTGTTTTTTTAATTATTATTTTTTCTCTCAGTTCATTCATCGATCATATTTACAAGCCCATTGTCATACTTGCTGCCAGTTTAGCGTTCTCACACATTTCAGCACACAGACAGAAACTGCAAACCAGGGCAGCTCTATTAGGATCTCTAATATTTCTGAGGAGTCTGGAGGTGCTGACAGCTTATGGTATGTCTTTCCCAGGCAAGTGCAAGTGCCTCAAAGTCCATCTATCCACGATTACTGGAAGGGGTAAAATTACACAGCACGCTTACCCTCCGAGTAGGAATCCTCTCCCCAGAGGTTCAAAATGGGGAACAAAAAGCATACCACAGCTGGCTATCTGACGAACGATACTCATTTGAGCTTCCAAAGAATCATCTGTGCCACACGGGCTGCCTTTGCAAAGCAAGCTTGCTTTGAGCCCGAGCTGATTAGCTTCGTTGATTTTCCAGACTGATTATCTTTTCCCAACTTAAGCGATACGTCAAGACCTGACACCCCCCAAACTCTCAGTGTCAGTGGTGAAAGCAGCGTGAGGACAGCGGAGGCAGGCCTCGAATTCACTTGGGCTACGTCCCCTTTTTTACTTTGTGCCCTCACTGATTTTTCTCCGCTCCCCACCATCTTTTTATAGTAGGCACCTCGGGGCGGAGGATATTAGGAAAGAATTTTGTTTCTTGGGACTGTAGAAAAGGGCATTTCTCAGGGCTGCAGAAAAAGGGAAGTAGTTCCAAGTATCCAAGCATGCACATTTGTCACCACAACCCCGTTTGCATACAAGCCCATTGTCAACCAAAGGAACTGGAAAATTATGGCTATTTATCCACCCCTCTCTTTACCCCCCGCCGTGCCTCTTTTTGGCAAAGCCGCTACACAGTTCGCATTGTTTCAAATGTAATGCCTGCAGATGGTTTTATTTAGAATTTGTTTTATTGGTGAGACACGCTTCCTCTGTTTATTAAACCATGCCTACATTTTGTCATCCGTTGTGTCGCCCGTAATTTCTGCCCAGAGCTCGAGGGTAGGGTTTGTTGTTGTTGTTGGGTGGGTTATTATTTGTGTGTGGGGGGAATATGTAATTTGAAATACTCCGAGCTCCAGGGGAACACCGCGCCTTCCCGTTCCGCTGTTCCCTCGCGCAAGGGCCATGAAGCTCCCCGGGGCCACCCACCCTCTTCCCCGGGCAACGTCCCCGGGCAGGGAGGGGGACACACACCCCGCAGCCCCCCCCCATCCCACCGCCGTCCCCCAGAGGCGGGCGGCTCGGCCCGGTCCCGCGGGGCTGCGCGGCCGCTCGCCGGGCGGCGGCAGGTGGTGGCCGCGGCAGCGGCCCGGGGGAACGGGGGGGGGGGGGACGACTTCGGTGTGGGGGGGGGGACACACGGACGGGGACACGGACGGGGACACGGGACCCCCCTCAACCCAGGGGCCGCCCGGGCGGTTTTTGTCCTTACGAGGCGCCCCCCACCCCCACCCCCCCGAGCGCAGATCGCCGACCGGCTCCGCGCCCAACTCGCAGGCTCCGGAGCAGGAGGTGGGAACCGCGGGCGGTTTGGGCTCGCTTTTTTTTTTTTTTTTTTTTTTTTTTTCCCCCCCCCCCCCCGCTTTGTGCGGCTTTTTTGGTTTTGTCTCCCCCCCCCTTTTTTTTTTTTTTGTTTCCTTCCCCCCCCCCCGTCTCTCTCCACCTCAGGTATTTGGAGAGAAGGCGGGAGCGCCGCGGCCCCGGGAGAGCCTCGGCGGGCCGGGCCGGGCCGGACCGGCGGCGCCTCCCCCCCCGGTTCGGGGGGTCCCCGGGCTCGGCCCCCGAACGCCCCTCTCTTCCGTTCTCCATGTCATTTCCTGTGCTAATAAGATGGTGGTCACGGCCGGGAGGGAGGGAGCCGCCGCCGCCGCCTCCGCCGAGCCCGGCCCGGCCCCGGGACCCGTCCTCGCCTGGGACTAGCCAGCGGGGCCGGCGGGGAGGGAGGGCGCAGCCAGCCGGGCTCTCTCCCCCCCCCCCCCCCCCCCCCCGCCTCCCCTCCCCACCTCCCCGGGGTGGAGCGGGGCCCCCCGACGCCGAGGCGGGCCCCCCGCGCCCGCAGCGCCGAGGTGAGTCAGCCCCGCTGGTAGCCAAGGTGGCCACGAAAATGGCTGCGGAGCGCTGAGGGGGGGGGGGGGGGGGGCGGGGGGGAACTCAGCTTCGGGGCGGCGGGAAAATGGGGAGTGGGGGGGGGGGAGGGATTCCGGTTGTGGGGTGTCCGCAACGGGCGGGGCAGCAACCGGTAGCGGGACACCCCCACCCCCCCCCCCCCAATTCCGCTTCCAGCTTCCATTTTCGCCGCCTCCGCTTTTCCTCCCCGGGGCGGGCGGCCCGTCCCCGCCGCGCCGCTCCCGCCCTTCCCCTCACCGCGTTACCCCCTCCGCCCCGTCTTCTTCCCTTTTTCCTCCCTTCTTCCCCACACCACCCCCCACCCCCCCCCCCCCACAGGCGTTAGCCGGGGGAGTGACGCGGCCGGCGGCCAATCGGCGGTGGAGGCGGGCAGGCGCGCGCCACATTGGAACGCGAGCGGGGGGGCGGGGCGACGCGAGGCGCTTCCCCCCCCCCCCCCCCCCTTCCCCCGGGGGGGGCGGCGGGAGCGGGACCGGGGGGGTCGCACCGGGATTTTGGGCGGGGGGGAGGGGGGGGGGGGAGGCGCTTGTTTTAGCGGGGCTGGATAACTTCGCCGCTGGGGTTCCCGCCGGTATCTGCAGCAAGCCTTCAACATCAACGGGGGAGCTGGCAATGCACCGCTTAGCCAGGATACTTTGTTGACTTGTGTGGAAAAACTTTGCCAAATTCATATTTATTGCCCTATCTTCCGCTCTCCCCCCCCCATTTATTTTTAAGTTCTTGAATCTTTCTGGCTTCCTTGCTTCAGTAAAGCATGCTTTTATATATATATGCGTATATATATATACACACACATGCATGAATATATCTATATGCATGAATATATATATATATACACACACACACACATTTAAACGAAATTCCTACACCCCTTGGCATATTCCAAAGGAAAAAGGAAGATGCCTCCAGTGTCCTGGTTCAGATCCATGAAAAAAAAAAAAAAAAAAGCTAGCCCCTGGGCAAAGCTGTTAGCTCAGTGTTGCTTCCTCTTTTTTTTTTTTTTTTTTCCCCTAGTGATTAATGCTTCTCATTAATGGGAGGAGAACTGGCAGAACCAGCTTAAAAAACAACAAAAAAAAAAATATAAATACTGACCTGACCGTAGGGAAGGGCTGTTTTCCAGCACTGCAGGTGTGCGCAGCAGCATTTTGTTGAGCGGCGAAAGAGCCCCAGCCCCAAATATCCAGCAGAACCCTCCCCCCCACCCCAAACTGGGCCCTGCCAGCGAGGTTTGACTCCCCGTGAGAGTGGCAAAGTTGGGCTTCGTGTCCCCTAAATTTCCCTTTGGGCAATCGCTGAGATTATAAGCAGTGGAAGTGGAAAGGGAAATGACTCTTCCAACTTTCTAATGTGTTGTGTGCATCCCTGAGGTGGACGGCGCCGTTTTCAAGTGCGAGCTGCTTTTGGAAATGAAAGTGTTTACCTGACACGCGTTTGCTTCTTACAAAAGGGTGCTTCGACCAAAGCTGCTCCTGCTCTAAAAATCATAGTTTAGCCCCGGGGTTGAGCGACGTGGGGCTCTGGAATCGTGTGCACTCTGCAAAGAGTTCGAGTGTCCGGGCTGGTGGTGCGGCCCGGAGAAGGGATGTGTTAGCAAAGGAAAGGCTGGTGAGCAGGATCCGCTTGCCCGGGAGGATTTGAGGTAGCCGCCGGCGATGCCGAAGGTTGCCCTGGCTCTTGGCTAGGTGCTGGAGCTGGCCGGTCCCTCTGCGGTGTGGAGCTGCAGGACCGGGGGAAGCCGCTGTTCCCTCCTGCCTGGGGAGTCGTGTCAAAAGCTGCTGGTTCTTCTGGTCGTCCGTGGGGCGTGTGGGAGGTGCCATGGGTGTTGGCTTCGCTGCGGAGCTTGCTGGTGTCAGCAGAGTGGCCTCCTGCTCCTTGAGCATCTTTGTGGACCGCGCATGAAGCACGGTGCTTTTTAGGCAGGTTTCTGTGGGGCTCTCCCACTGTGAGCCTTCCTGGTCGGTGGTAGCGATTACTTGTGCTTTTTAGACAACTGAAGGGGGAGGATTATTGTGAGGGTGATAGCTGATTTTAAACAAGAAAGATAAAAGCAAGGACTTGACTAAAACCTTATTTTTGATGTCTTGAGGCAAGGTCAGTCTCACTGGGATGGGGTTGGGGCAGGTTGTTGCTTGTATTCCTTGCTGGAAAGTGATGGACCAGCTTGAAATGGGTAGGAGGGGGGTAAGGGTGGTCTGCAGGAGCACTGCAAGAGGAGCCCAAAGCGGGAGGGCTCCTCCACTGCAGCCAGCTGGCTTTGCGATCGGGGGGCCACGAGCATCGCGGTGAGTGGCAGTTGCCACCCTGAGTCAGGAATCGTAGTAGTAAAGTACATATTGAGGAGAAAACCAACAAGCCCGGGCAGGAGAGGTCTTTTTGTATAGAGTCCCAGGTACACTTTATCCTTCTGGGTTTTTCTTAATATTCTTTTTTCCTTTTGTAACTTCTGTCTCATGCTGGTTAGTTCCTCAGCAAAGCTGTGTCTGAAGTTTTTTTCCCCCGTGTCCATTTCTGCGAGAGAAGTACGTGCTTTTACCCATCTCTTTATTCTTAAGGTTGCTGTTAGCAGGGCCTCTCTCTTGCTGGTTTGGCTGTAAGTGCCACTAACCATTTCTAGAGCTCTTAAAATACTGCCTAATATTCATGACATTTTGGAGTAGCATATTTAAAATTGTTATTGCCTATCTAGAGTTGTTGGCATGTGTGTGAAAATTTGCAGGGGAAGTAAATGTAGTCCCAAAGACAAAATGTTTTTTTTTGTTTGTTTGTTTAACAATCAAATAATAGTACGGTAGATTACCCGGGGGACCTCCAGAAGGAAGAAATAAGCTGCTAAAACTTGATCTGAAGATACAAGGCTGGGTAGCTGTAAGAAGTAATGATTCTTGTTCCCAGTGACGTGACTGCAGGTGGGAACTTTTGCTGCCTACTTTGCATCGGGAACATGTGTATCCCAGATCTGTGAACAACTGCTTTTGCCAAGAAAGCCAAAACAAGCAAACATCGCTTTTATTCCTCAGTTTGGGTTGCAGCTTTCTGGCATTTTAAGATATCTGGAGTCAGTTGGACCCCCATCTGGGTATGCTCAATGTGTCTTCTCGCACCAGCGTTGGGTTCTCTGGTTGGGGCTCTCACCCGAGCACAGGTCCTTCGGACCCCAGGGCTGAGAGCTGCTTGGGGGGCTGGCACAGCCGCCGAGGGGGGGTCGGCATGTGCAGCATCCTCTGGCATGGAGCGAGTGGCAGGTTGCCTGCCACGGGGTGCACTGGCTTTGCTGCTCTGCATCTCGCCCCTTGTTGTCATGCTTCGGGTGTCTTTCATTGGAAGCACTTCTGTACGGTGCTCCTGCCTGAAGCTCTGTGGTAGAAGGTGAAGTTTCTTGGACCAGAGCTTCTGTGCAGCTGCAGACAGTTTTAGGGCCTCCGCTTGCACTGACCTCTCTGCAGGAGTGGAGTAAAGAAAGCTTTCATTTCACAGCCTGTTCTGTTCTCCCTGTGACCTCTTCTCTGCTGCTGAAGGTGTTTTTAAATAAAGCCTCAAGAGCAATACTTCTTCTCAAGCTGCATTGTGAAGTGTTGCTTTTCAGGAATCCCGGCTAGTTAAACTTGCCCATGCAAGTGGATTCCATTAGCAAGTCCAACCTGCCAAAGAAGAAGCAGAGAGGACAAGCTGAGAGACACGTTTGTGTCACCCTGCATGGCATTTTTGGAAAGAAGGTGAGGGAGAAGTGCTTTGGAAAAGGGGAAAGTTTGCAGGTAGAAGAGGCCAAGCAAAGAGCAATGGAAAACACGGAGCAGTCCTGCGGCTTCTTTGGAGGGTAGGAGCAGCCAAGGTGGATGGAGAAGAAACCTGGTGAGGAGGGCAACACAAGCATCCCATGTTAGAGAAGTTTTTCATTAAAAAGGCCACCACGTGATAGGCACCACATTGCTAATAGAAAAGACTGGGAGGATTGATAGCAGGGAGGGAAAAAAGCAGAGGTGAAGGGAGTAAATTTTGACTTGGCATCTAGAATCATATTTACAGAGTGGGTTTTTAGAGGTGCAGTCACTGTCCTCACCATGTAGGCTTCAAACTTCAGCTAGAGTCAGTGAAGGTGGTACTAACACTGGCATTTTTCCTCCTTCCATCCCAAGCTCTGCACACAATTGCAAGAACCTATGTTTCTGCTGAGAGATGGTCAAGCAATTAAAAATTCTGATGCTGAAAGCTTTGCTGTTGTGCTTCCTGGTCACTGGTCCCTGTTTGTGCAAGCAGGATAGCTCGTATCCTTGAGAGCTGTTGTTCAAAGGCCTCCTCTCTCTGCAAGGCAGGGAGGCAGCACTCTGGTGTTTCCGACCCTGCAGTCAGAAGGTAAAAACATTATACATATAATTTAAGGCTTAAGCTGCAGAAACTGGCAGCCTCCAGAGAGAGATCAGTAATGTGTACTGCAGAAGACCGTTTCAGTGCAGTCCCTCGGTCGCGGGCAGCCATCAATAAGGGGCCCATCAGAAGGGTATCGTAAGCAAAGTTGTCCAATTTGAGCACGCTCTGATAAATGGCTTCGTTTCTCTGCCCCCTTTCTTCTCTCCTCTTTAGGCTTTGGCTTTTCAGCAAGGCTAGTTGTACTTTGACTGTAGTGACTGCTCCTGGAGGAGGGACTGCCGTTCCGAAATTAAGTGTCAGTGTCGAGCTCTGCCCGGGCTGGCACCGCTGGCGGCTCAGCCGGGTGAAAATGCATGGGAGGTGAAAAGAGGGGAGATTTAGATGAGATGCAAGGAAGAAATTGTTCCCTGGGGGGGGGGTGAGGCGCTGGCCCAGGGTGCCCAGAGCAGCTGTGGGTGCCCCCTCCCTGGGAGGGTTCAAGGCCAGGTTGGACGGGGCTGGGAGCCCCCTGGGCTGGGGGAAGGGGGCCCTGCCCGGGGCAGGGGGGGTGGGACTAGGTGGCCTTCAAGGT